GTTTTATCCATGGAAGGGAGACGCCAACCACATCCATGGCCTCCAATACGAAAAAAGTGTGATACCACGATAAAATGATTGGCCTTCTTGCCATACCTGCACTGTCCAAGGATGGTCTTAGTTGTTGTTGCCTGCCAAGCATTGCACCACCATGCATGGGCGACCACCAAGGAGACACCGACCACGACTTGATGGATTTTTGTCACTATAAGGTAGCTATCCTAACCAATCACAAGATTGCAATTGTTATTAGCCTTAGATGTTAATCGTATCGAGTTGCGTTGACTTTTTGTTTGTTTCTAAGAGCCCGTAAAATAAAATGTGTAGAGAAATCTAACCCTTTGTCCATTTCTAAGAGCTAGTATAATGAAAATGTGTAGAAATATGTAGCCTTTTGCCAATTGCTGAAGGCTAAACAAGATAGCAAATCTGGCCTTCTGTTAATTGTTGGGAACTATGTAGATGTAGTAGAATTAGCCCATTGTCCATTGATGGGAACCAGTGATAGAGATATGTAAACTAAATATCTTGTTCATCGCTAAGAGCTATGCAAATGTAGTAGAATTAATCCTGTCCATTGATGGGAACCAGTGATAGAGATATGTGAAGTAAATATCTAGCCCTTTGTTCATCATTGGGAACTATATAAATGTGATAAAATTAGCTTGTTGTCCTTTAATGGGAGCCATGTAGACGTAGAAAGATAGGCTCTTTATCCATTGCTAGGAGCCAAAAAATGTAGCACTAAATGTTGTAGTAAAGATCATGACTGTCATAAACATCCAACCATGTCGTGGAGATAGATGTAGACAAGTTTGGCCATGTATGCAAAAATAAATGTTGAAATGGATCATATCTATAATGTTTCCAGTGGAGTAGATGAACATTGCTTCTAATGATGCTGACTTTGTTGCAATCATCAACAGATAATATATAGCAGATCTAATGTGGAAATAGATCATGTGGGCCCTTCTTACTCACAAATTAAAAGTCGATCTTGCTGACGTGGCACTACACATGTTGTGAATTCCAAAACAATACAAATTCATCTCTCAACATTCTTAAATCTTTCATTTAGAGAAAAAGTTAAAAAATAAGAGTTATTTTTGAGACAAAATATTTTCTATACAAATTAATTACTACATCCATTAGTAATCCTAATTTGATTTTTTGATTTTTATGAATTAAAAGAAATTAATATTATATAAATGATAATTAAAAATTTTTTTGATTAAATAAAAATACTCAATAATGACTACATATTTGAAAAAAAATCAATTATTATTTATATAAGTAGTTAAATTTTTATTTACAATATATGTATAAAAAATTAAATAGATATATTTTTCTGAGGAATAAATAGCCATATTAAAATTATTAAATTTGAACTGAGGAAATATAAAATAATAATGCATTTATTATAAAGTGTTATGTTTTATAGATTAAATTATATTGAATTGTAAATAGGAGACTATTGGATGAGTAGCAGAGTCCTCAATATAAGAGAACCCACCTTTATTTAGTAGTTATGGTTGTACAGTCTAATATAGAGTGGATTACACAACACTTTTTCCATTATTATATCAGATCTTACACCAAATTCACAATTAAGGTCCCAAGATTTTATTACACTTAATTAAGATCTTAAAGTTGTAATAATTCTCAAATAAGTTCTTAATTGAATAAAAACCATTAGATCTTTCAAATCTATTGCTAACCCCATTAACTCTAATAGGCTAAATCGCAAAAATAGTCTCTAGACTTTTAATCTTAAAACTTTCAAAGACCTAAAATGCTCTTAAATATATTTTTCGTTTTGTTTATGCGGAAATTTTTGTGGAGCCCACAGCTAAAAATTAATGTGGGATATACATGGGTCTCAATTTTTTTTGTTATTTTTCGTAAATGAATTTACTATGCAAATATGTGGGACCTGCTTAAAAGATTTGTTACAGCAAAAACAATTGAGCAATTTTTTAATGGTTAATTAAATTTTTTATGAAATCATTTAAAGTATAATTAATAAATTATTTTAGATAATTAAAATTAATTTTTAATTATAATTCTCACGAAAATTTCCTTATCAATAACAAAAATTAGTTTAAGAAGCATTTTAAAATTTTTGAAAGCTTTAAGATTATTGGAAACTAAAATTAAAAATTTAGAGACTATTTTATTATTTAACCAATTAGATTTAACTGTATTAAAAAAATTTAAAGGACTTACTGATTTTCATTTAATTAGAATATTATTTGAAAATTTTGATAACTTTAAATTTTAATTAAATACAATAAAATTTTAAGGTCCTAATTAAAAATTTAATATAAATTTAAAACCTTTATAAATTATTTTAATCATAACATTGCACTAATAATATATATATATATATATATTTTTGATAAGAAATGGAGAAATATATTGAATAATAAGAGAAGTACAGTAAAAACTCCATCACATGGCATATAGCCTAACACATGAAAGCTTAAAAAGCAGAATCAGAAGCATAACCTACAGCCTAATAACAGATTTAAACTATGCCCATGACGAATATAGACAATTAAGTAAAGAGAGTCATCTGCAACTAGAGATTGCAATTGCAATCGCTGTATGGGTTAAATAGGGCTACTAATGTAGAAAGGAAGGTCCCTATGAGCATCGAAAGCTACTGAACGTCCTCACCTAATTAACCAGCTTCTCGGGGAGAGAAGGGATTTTGGCAACAAACAGTCCCCAAACTATAGGTTGCCATCCAAGCTATTCTTAAAAAAGAATAAACAAGAGGAGGGGTATGGTCCTCCTCAGTGCAGTCTCCAGGTACCCTATTCGACTGCAGATGTACCCAAACATGTGCCCATCTGTTCCACTCCTCAACAATCCCTGGCTATCATCGGTTAATAAGGGATCTAGAGCCCCTTTACCAGCATGAGGGCCATACTGCCCTTGCAGAACACCATCAGGATCCTTCACAGCATGGAAATTTGACCTTCCACACCAAAACCCACTTACATCCCCCTGCGCAGAACCCAACCGGAAGAAGAGAATGCCCCTCTCCTTTTCCGATTTGCTCAAGGTAACATTGATGATGCCTAAATGCAGCCAAAGCAGAGGGGAATCCATCTCAGGTTGGTCAGAAAGCGCTGTTAATGGCCATTGACATCCACCCGGATCTACTATTACGACATCAATGTGAGATGGCTTCTCTCGGCACCACTGCTCACAGGACAGCAAAGCCCACTCTAGATCTAAAAATGGCGAGAAAGAGGAACTTTGAAAGGCAGACCCATCCTTCCAGAACAGAATCAAGCCACCCATTCTCTCTACACAATTGCACGTGAAACAGTGAGCCATCCCTAGATCTATTTGGAACAAAATCGTCTCCATCCCAGATTGCTGCGTTGCAGGGAGCGAAGCGGGGTTCGACATTTGTTGGAGGCTCGATTGATTGGACTCAAAAATCAAATAAACCTCTTCGAGATTGCGATAAGTCCAAAGCAACATAAGCGGATGAGCCATGGGAAGAACAAAAAGAGAAATGGGGGGAGAAGCCCTGCAGGAAACCAGGGAGAAGCGCCTAGGCGAGGGGCTCGACCGTCGCGAGGAAACCCTAGCGACGGCGAGAGGAAAAACCGCACTAATAATATATTTAAATTATTGAAAGGAGAGAAAAAAAATTAGTTACTTAAATTATAATATTTAAAAAATATTATAATTTAATTAATTAAAAAATTTTCATACTCTTTTCTAAGGGTGTTCGCAGTGTAGTTTGGTTCGAATTTTAACATTTTTTAATTCAATCCAATTTAATTGGTTAGTAAAATTTTTAAACTAATATAATCCACTATTATATGATAACCAAACCAATCCAATTTAAATCGGATCGGTGTGATTCGATCGGATTGATCGGTTTTTAACACTATTAAATATATGAGATAATGTAAATAAATTTAACATTAAATAAAAAACATAAATATAAAATACGTTAATATCCAAATAAATAGAAACATAATTAAAAAAAGTACAAATTATAAACAAATTCTTATACTTTTTTACAGTTGTAAAAATTGAAAAGATTTAGAAATTATAAACAAATTCTTAAATCTTTATCTTGATCTCCAAAAATACCCAAAAGAGGGCTACCACCAGCCTCCCAAGCTCTTTTAATTTTGAATTTGGATGGGTATTTATAAGGTTTTAGAAACCCTAATTGGAATAGATGTAGGATTTAAAACAGAATAAGAAACTTGAATATTACACGCTGAACGTATAGTATTGACACCCTGAATTACGTGTCAACCCAAAACAGGAAACATAAAGTTTAATTCTGAACTATTAATCCATGGTGTCGACACCCATATTATGTGTTTAAGAATAAACCCAGCAAAATGAAGACGACAACCATGACGACAACCTTGGCAAGTGCACGCTACTCAAGAAGGTAGGGTTTTAAGAATAAAGTTGTGACTCACTTATAAAGGTAGAATTGTAGGAGAATTTGACATTTAGAATTAAAATTTACGTATATAATTTAAAAGAAAAAAAAAATAGAAAATATAAGATATGCTATTTTTATTTTTAATTAAATCAATAGAGTCATTATCTTGTAAAATAATAAAAAAAATTGAAATATTATAAAAATATTATATTATTTAATTAAGTTATTTTATAATCAATTTTTTTTTTTATAATCGGACGATTCGAGTAGTTTAAAAGTAAAATTACAAACCAAACTAATTATATCAATTTTAAATTTTTATAATCCAAACTAACCCAATTTTATATAAATTTAGCTTAATTTTTAATCAAATTAAATCAATTTAAATCAAATTAATCTGTTTGGATCGGATATAAGCACTCCTCCTCTTTTCTTTTATATTACTCCCAACTCAATTCTCACGACTCGATCCTAAGGTGAATGAACATTTGAAAAAAAACCAATAAAGAAAATGACTGTTGCAGACACTCACACTCGACACGTCCAAACAGAATCTCACGTGACTAGACTTGGAAAAGCCAACGCAAACACCGCCGGCTTCTCGATATCCTAAATTTCTGCCGCCTTGTCTGTTGTCTCCATAACCTTTTCCTATACAGAGCGATACCCATCACCTTACGATGCTGTAATTTTGATGGAAGCCCGCCGGCTCGCGATTCTTTGTTCCCATCTCTGTTCAACGGGATCGCCCTCTGGGTTTTCGGTTTTATCAATGTCGGGTTGCGCCTCAGGTTCCAACGTTGAACATCAGCGGCAGCGGGATTCCGATCAGGGGAGCTTGCCAAGTGATTGTGTCTTTTGCCAGATTATACGTGGTGAAGGCCCTGCTCTAAAGGTTGTTAATCTTTAGCTTTAACAAATGTCGTTTTCTTCAAATTGGATTTCATGTAGCTTAATTAATTCTGATTCTTTGTTGAATTTTGGGGTTAAAGCTTTATGAAGATGATATGTGCCTGTGCATCTTGGACGTGAATCCACTGAGTCATGGGTAAGGTATCATCTTTCCATTATGTAAAATCATTAATTTGGTCTATAAGTTCATGTAATGTACTATTGCTTGAATTTGAAAGTTGAACAATTGAAACCTCTGCTGTCCATTTCCAAATTACCGATTTGTGAGTTCTGCTTTTAAATTTGAAGTGAAAGGATTTATTGATGTATTGAATCTTTAACTCAATTACTGGTTTATAAAGTTGAAAATAGTGACTATTGTTGCTGAAAAGTAATAGATTTTTGCTGAAGGATGTATGCGTCTAGCTGTAGGAACGTTAGTCTTGTTAGTGGGGTCTTAGCGTCAGTTTATACTTCTCTAAATTTCTCATCAGTGGGACTACATTTTATATATTACCTGTTAAGGTATAAGTCTTCTATAAACAGACATGTGTTTTGTTTCTTCACATTAAAATAAGAAAATGTGAAATTAGTTAATCTAATCTGTTGCTCCCTATATTGTGGTGTTTCTTTTACTTCACAGGCATTCTCTTATAATTCCAAAGGCTCATTTTTCTTCGTTGAACACAACTCCCCCGTCTGTAAGTAATTGGTAGATGTAGTTTGGTGGTTAAATCTTTGTAACGTTCTGGTAATTTTTTATAATTTCCAAACATTTTGCATTATGAATGTTAATGTGGTAACTGGTAATGAATTTTCCAGATATGGGTGAAGTGATAGGCATAAGCATGCAAATTTAGGAGTCAAAATAGTCAAGTTAAAACAGCAACACAGTTCCTGTTATGAGTTTTCCTTTAGGGTTTGTATCTTATCATCATCAATATCTGCATTTTAAATATATAATTGTTTGACCTTTGTGATTGTGGCGATATATGTGCGGATTTCTCTGAAGGCCAAATCAGCACCATCTTATAAGCAGGAGGGTTCTGGTGGTTCTAATGGAACTCAGGAACTCTTTATTGATTACATATTCCTTGCTTCCTTGTGCTTGCCTACATTGTGTGAGTGGTCCTTTTGTCACAATTTATATGTTCAGCTATTCATGTGTTTATTTATCTGTAACACATTTTACTTAGAAATTTGTTGTTTATAAATTTTACGGATCAAGTACCAATCTGTACAAAAATTCGTTTTGCTCGAGAATTTTTCATTTTAAACAGCTGGAATAAAATTCTTATTTTGTTTTTGAGGAATATACAGGTGGTAGCGGCAATGTGTTCAAAGGTACCTTTCATCAGCAATGCAATCATGAAAGCTACCGGATCTGGTATGCACAAGTTTGTTTTCTGCAGTTAAAGTTTACAAGTCTCATTATCCTTATGTTGTGTTATAGACTTTATCACCTTACCATATGGGATCTAAATTTCTGAATAATTGGAGATTCATGGCCCTTGCAATGCAATTTGTTTGACTCAAAGCTAGGTTTGAATTTATTTCTCATAAATATTTATTCCTTTTTACTTAGAATTGCATTATTTACCTACATTCCAAGTCTTCCAGCAAAGATAAGTAGATCATGTGAGATATATAACTGGAGAGGTTGGTTTTTACAGATTCATTCAACTTATTGGTTAACAATGGTGCAGCTGCTGGCCAAGTTATATTTCATGTGAGTAACTGTGTTCTTTTTCTTCGGTTTCTTGGTTCCTTTTGTTTCTTGAAATGGTTTATCTACGTTCAAGGACGAAAATACATTCCTATCTTTTTTTTGGATTGAATTAAAGAAGAAAATGTAGTTGTGTTAATGGAACTAATTAACTTCTATCACTAGCTGACCTGTTAAATTATTTAGGGATTGAGAATATGATTACTTTTAACATCAAATTTCCAGACTCATATTCACATAATACCCCGGAAAGAAAGTGACTGCTTGTGGGCTTCTGAGGTATGCTTCTTTTGCATAATGTCTTCTCTTATTATGCAAACCTGTAACAATATTTATACATGTATGAAATATTGGGAGTTGTACAGAGTTTACGCAGGCATCAATTAAAACTAGACCGGGAAGCTTCAGGGCTTGCACATCGTATCCAAGAACTATTATCAAACGTCTCCGAAGAGGGCAAACATCGAGAATCTAGCCTTTCATAAATTGTGGGATTAACTCTTTGTTATAGATTATACAGAGTGTCTATACATGTTTTTTTTTCTGTACCATGTATGTATAGCCAATTTTTTCTACTTTCTTGCCAGATTCCCAAGTCATTGTACTGCTTCAATGAGGGAAGATTTTGTATTTGTTCAGTCCATAAACGAAGATAGTTGTGAGCAATCTGCTTTATCCAGTGTTTGTATCTCATACTCTCTACATCTACCTGCTTGCTTGATTCCAGTATCCAATATCACGATAGGGTTGTGAATATGACACTGTAATTGTAAATATCGATCGCATCTAATATTTTCAAGTATATAATGATAGTTAATAATACTCTAATTATGGACCATGTGGCGTGGTGGTTTAGGTGTAAAGTTAGCAGTTTTACCAAAACCATTAAGAATAAGTATTTGAAAATTTTGTTTATTTTGAAATTGTTACAAACTAAGTGTTTGGTGAAAACTTTTATTTAATAATTTGGTACTAACAAATAGCAATTCGGGTTTAAATTACTAAGGAATTGAAAAAGTCACTTTAGATAACGTTTTGTATCAAATTGCTAGAGAATTGGAATTTTTTAATTTTATTAACAAATTTATCTTTTTTAATTTTTTAATTTTTGACTACCGTTTTTAATTAGTATTTATTTAACTAGTTTTAATTTCATTTTTTCTCTTTAATAACATTAAGGGATTATTATATCTTATTCACTTTCCACTATTTGCAACTTCCAACCCACTATCCACAACCTGTTACGGCAAACTTTTTACTAATTGTTTTTAAATTCCATTTCAATTAACATATAATTAGAGCTAATTTGGCATTGTGGTTTAAATTTAACAGATTACAGGTTACGGGTAGTGAATGGAAGATAGTGGATGATAAAAAGTAAGTAATGAATGGTAGATAACAAATTTAATTAATATAATTATTTGATTATACAATAGTTAACTATTATTATTCAACATTAAATGACTAATAAAAACATGTATAAAAATAATTGAGTGTACTTTTTAAAAATATTTTTATTATTAAAATTAATAATTTTATAAAAATAATGATA